CAAAGATGAGCAGCAGAACCCACAGCATCTTTAAGTGGGAGAGATCCAGATTGTTTGGTGAAATTATCTGTTTACATCAACAGATGTGAATAGTTAGAGGGCAGACATTTAACCAGATGCGTCCTCATCCTTTTCAGATAAATATCTTGGAGGAGAACAGTTAACAGTTGAGGCTGTGCTAACTTCACTCACCTTGCCTGGGTTTTTCTCTCTCCACAACAAGCATCTCCGAATGAGTCCGAGCTCCATTTATTCTCTCAGTTTACTTCCCTCTTTGCTGTTCATATGGAAATAAACTGCTGTCGTGCCTCTTGGTGTGAATGTAGGGCTTTCATTTCTGTGAAAACACCTCGGAAAGTTTGCATAGTCTTTTCATCAGCTTTTTCAAAATGCTGCCTCTGTTTATTTTCTTCATGCGCTATCTTTATCAGAAATGCAAATACTTCTTCGTTTCCTTGTTCTTTGGTTCAGCATTGAAGCTCTTTGTATGACAGGACTTCCATAACAGGAACTAATTTGTTTTTCTTTCTTCAACTGCAACTGTCACAACACTTTCTCAAATCCCAGAACTTCTAAACGTGCGCAGGGTAAGGAAGCAAGACCAAAAGAAAACCAAGCGAAAAAACCTTTATGTCTGGCTCTAAAAGCTAATTCTGGTGCTTAAAAAATGACCACGGTAATGCTGGTTAAAAAGATCTTTTAATGTCTACGTATATTACGTTTTCACTCTGGCAGGGCCATTTTTTCTTTAAGCTTTTTTCATCTTTATGATAAAGCTGGAGAATTACTGAAAAAAAAACAACAAACAAACAAACAAAAAAAAATCGAAATCTCTGATTGTTGCACGGAACATTGAAACAACTAGTGTGTACATACAGAAAAGGAGTGAGGACCACAGCATAGGTACAGCAAAAAGGTTACAGACGTCACACATGGGCACAGCAGGACGAAGGGTATAGCACTCGGATCACAACGTTTGCTCGTAGCTCTACTGCACAGGGATCCACCATGAGGACTGGAAACAGACTCACAACTCAGTAAAAAGACATGCCACGTGAACGGACGCTGGGAAACTTGTGAATGCCTTACCACACACCCAGTTGGATTCTATTTGCTCCAATAAGCAGTGCTGTGTGAAAAAATAGGGCCACAAATTGAGCAGGGAATGCTGTTAATCTCTTTTTCGTTTGTTATTTTGTTTGTTTTTTCGTTGCTCCACAGCCACAAATACTGTGCTCTGTATTCATGGCAAATGTTTCTGTGACCCATGATGCTCCCTCGCGCATGCCTTTAGGTGCAGGGGGGAAATTTGGATAAAAATACCTTCCCAGACTCCTTACAAACATTCTTCCGATTCAGTGTATGTCTTTTCTACAGTGTTCTGAGTCAACTTTTTTTTTGTTTTTGTTTTTTGTTTAATCAACCGAAGTACCAAAAAGCCACTCGGGCGACACAGACGGAACTTTAGAAGTCATTGTATTTTAAAGCACCATTCTATCAAATGTTCTGATGTCTGGACACAGTTGGTGGGACAAACAGTCTTTTTAATACAAGCATCTAAATTGGAACAGAACTTAAATGAAAGAAAGAAAACAGTAACAAACCGGTCGCCCGATAAATAAGACCGAAGGCTTAACCCATGGGCTAAACCACGCTGTCAGGTCAAGGATCAAATTTGTGTGATAGCTTGAAGCAAAGGGGTCATCTTATTAGCATCTGAGTTATGGACATGAACATGAAGGTAGGTGGATTCTCAGACAATGAAGCACCTAATTGTACCTTTATGGATCCTTTTGGTTGTCCATTTACAACTTGGGAACATTTGTGTACCATCACAAACTTCGGGAAGTACAGATACGTGCCCTGGGGTCAGGTTATTTGTCATACGGGCCACATAAGTTGAGATAGTACCTCAGGAGACATAAATGTTCTCCTATTTTGCCCTATTGTGCTTTGACCTCACTGAATCTGAAAATAAAAAGTAACTGCTCTTATAAAACCTACACAGGCTATCGCCACCCAGATTAGACACTGTCCCCATGGTACAAATCTAACACACAGTATGTACAAAATGAGCTTTTGATCGTCTTGGTTATTGCATGCAGTTAATGACAAAAACTAGGTTTTTACATTTTGGAGTTGTTCTTTCCATGGAAAGGCGCCGGTCATTTTGTGACTAAATGCTCAAGGCTTTCAGCTCCATCCTCGGCTCCTAAAAACACAAGCTGGTTTTGCAGTCGACGGAGACGCGCACTGAAAGGAAAAACGGCATTGGTGTGGCAAAGGGAGCCACAACCTGCTGGCACTAATGCCTGGTGAGAAAATACAACTTGGTTCAGAAACACACGGTCTGCCAATCATAAAGGTCCAAAAGTCTTCCGCAGGTGGACTTTCGACTTCCATCGTCAGGCGTTTGTGAACTGTTCAAAGGAGAGTACAGGCCATTTAGGCACGTAGGTTTTCCAGAAAAGCTTTGTTTTAATCTCTCCCCGATCGGTGGAGATCAGTAGTGAATCTGGGCTCAGTCATCTTAATCCAGAAAAAAGAGAAATGGAACAAAAAAGATAAGACATCCTACAATAAAGGAGAAGGCCGCACTCTGCCTTTACTCACAACTATTGCAGTTTTAGGTTAAAAGTTTTCTGTCTTTAGACGATGTCCCCATGGTTTTTTATCTCCACGTTATTCATTTCAACAAAACGGGAGCGTGGAGGAAGTGTCGGGGTGTGTGGGAGGAGGAGCAAACAACAGCAGACAGTTTCCACAATTTAAAGCCATACAAACGACGCACGCATGCAATTTGGTGAAGGGAAACTGCAAAGATGGTTTGTCTATTCATTGAGCCTTATAAACATCCAACTCTACAGAGCCTACTGTATAATATCTTTTAAAAAAGCACACACTGGTAATATTCCTCTTAGCAAAAACACACCAACAATAAAAAAAAAGGCAAAATACTGGTTCTGTTTGTAGTCGTACAAAAAGGGTTTAGCCTCTCAGAGCCATTTCATGGTATGAGAGTAAGGTGCCTAATCAAGATTTAGTCCACTATGAACTCAAGCAGAAAAAGTGCATTTAAAAAAAAAGTTCAGTTTAGGTGCTTCAGATTTTTCTTTTCAGTGCAGAATGGATTCAAATTATTACTTGAAATACTGTTAAACAGTCTCTTTCAACATTGGTCGGGGACCGTGATTTGCAGGCCTCTTATCGGTGATTTGGGGTTGAGTGCAGTCAGTTGTGGAGTTTACAATGCATCGGCAGTAAAACACTGCAACAAAAGTTCCAGTTTTGCATCTCTGTGCAAACATGGGTCCGATTCACAGTGGGCGTGATTGAGTTTGCAACAGCAGGGGGGAGGCAACACATTCAGCTTTGGCACAGCAGATTTACACAGTCCGAATCGAAAGGTCGGGAACGCCTCGAGATGCTCTCTATCGAAAAAGGTGAACAATGAGATTGAAAAGCTTAATAGCAGTGCATATAACAGATTCTGTGGCACCTTTCAGGTGTTCCGTTAAAAATCTGTGATATAAATGAGAACCTGCACAAAGGGAAGACATCCTGAATTTCCCCAACCTTAAGGTTCACGTTTGCTTCTTTTCTGATTGATAAGGTCATAAAGCGACTTTGATTCAGACAACCTGCTGCTGAAATGAGCATATAAAATCAACTCCACAGTCAGACGTACAACACTGTGAGCTGTGAGATATTTTGCAGCAAGTTTCTATTAAGACTTATATACTATCATAATATATCCGTTCACAATTGATGGTGAAAGGTTCATATGGTTGCATATTGAACTCGTCTGCTCCCAACAGCGGGACGCTGTGAATCGACTTTAACTTTCACTTTAAAATGAAAACCCCATCAAAATCTGCCATTCATGACAATTTTCGTCTGTTTTTTTCTCGGGGTAACTGCTTCACCTCAGGTTTTCGTTATCAGCTGAGCTTGAAGGCTTCACAAAAACTATTTAAACAAGTTGCTCAGTAGCAGCTTTTTAAGCATGACTTAATGTCTGGTTCATATCGAAATCTTAAAAAGGATTCATGGCATGAGATAAATCCCATCCATTGGTCTCGTGAAAATTTCTGAAAAAACAGTGACAATCATTATTATGCACGCCGTATTTCTCTTGTAACACTGGGCCGCGTTTCCTTGCTAGTCTTCAGAAAGGGACAAAGATTTCCTGACACTGCGTGATGGCTCCCAAACCTCACTGTCGTCCGTGTCCTCGCCGTCGTCCTCCTCGTCTTCCTCGTCGTCCACTTCGCCGGCCATCCCTGGGCCGGCCGGCCCTGTGGCTGCTGACGCCTCTCCCTGCGTCCCAACATGCTCCCGCACAGCCCTGTCTCCATCTGTTCTCCCCACGGTGGGCTCCAGGAAGGGGTCTAAGCCCAGGTCCAAGCGCCGCTGGACCTCTGCAAACCACTCCCGCACCTGCCGACAGGGACTCAACTTAACTGGGCGTCTAATGCAAGGCATGTTTTTCCCGACGAAAAGCAAAAGGGCTGAGTTCTGCAGCTAATCGCTAACCCAAACGCAGATGAGGGAAATGCAGTCACCAGTCAATGTGTTGGGGTCCTACGATTAGGTCCCAGGTACATCGAAAACCCCCCCAACAGACTTTTTGTGCACAGACATGTTCATTCACTGTTATTCATTCACTCCCCTGTGTTTCTTTTTAAAAAAACATATTACCTGCTCATAGCTCATGTTGGTCTTGGTGACTAGCTCATCCAGGTCTTGCTCATTGAGGAAGTGGTGCTTCAGGTAGTACTCCTTCAGGACTTCTCTCGCAGTCCTGAATTTCTTTGACGGGGCCGACTTGCTCAGCTCTGTGCTGGAGGAGGCGGATCTCTTTGGCTGCTTCCTGGTTCGGGAGCGTCCCCAGCCGCGATTGCGGCCGCGTCGTTTTCGGCCTCCGCCGCCGCCTCCCGTTTTACCGCCCCCGCCGCTGTTTGGTCCCTCGATGTTGCCGCTTTGGTACTGAAAGAACCACTTCAGGTTTCCGTTTTTCCAGGAGTAGCGCGAGTCCCCGAACCAGCTGACGATGTAGTGGCGAGGGAGGCTGCTCTCCTCGGCCAGCTGGTCGTACTCCTCCGGTGTGGGCCACTGGCTCCGCACAAAGGCACTTTTCAGAATGTGGAGCTGCTCCGGAGACTTTTTAGTTTTATCTTTCACGTCTCTCCCGCTGCCACTGGGCGGCTGCTTACTGCGACTACCAGGAGGAGTTTGACTACCTCTCCGAGACGAGGAGGTTGGTAGAGGAGAGGAGCTTGCCCCTTCTGTTTCTCCTTCCTCTCCTCCCTTTGCACTGTCCGTTTCCATTTTCCCTCCCTCTGAGGACTCTGGGGAGGACGTGCTGACAGCCGGCACTTTTCGTCTCTCCGTGAACCAGGCGTCGATCTCCCTGCGCGTCAGTTTGGTCTCTGTCCTCAGGCGGGTTAACTCTTCGTCAGATGGAGTGCCGCTCTTCTCGAAACTCTCCTCCAGCACCACCAGCTGCTCTGGCGTCTTCTCCTTAAACTTCTGCAGGGTGAAGTCTGGGAAAGGGTTCCACGTTTTGGGTCGAGACTCCCTCTCCCTCACAGGAGGAGTGCGTGGCGGATGGGGGGATGCGGGGGTCTCATCGCTGGAATCAATGAGGATGGGGGCGCTGGCGGCGATGGCGGGGCCGCTCCCGCCCCGGCCTCCTCCGTCGGGGAAAACGATGACGTGGCTGCTCTTGGAGTTGCGCTGGTTGTAGCGCGTGTCACTGAACCACTTTTTGATCTCACCCTTTGTCAGATTGGTGAGCTTCATCAAGCGGGCAATCTCCGCGTCAGTCACAAAGTGATTTTTCAGGTAGCTAGCTTTCAGCTCTGCCAGCTGCTCTTTGGATTTCTTGGGACGCATGCTGAAGGTGTCAGCGCTGAGGGCCGAGTTCTCCTAAGAAAGAGGAGGGAAAAGTTATTCAAGTGTTTCTGCTGAGAACCGCTGCAACGTCCAGCAATTTACTGTTAAAGTTAACAGAAGCAGAACAGGTATAGATGTGGTCTTTCTTTTTTTTTTTTTTGCACAGACTTAAGTCTAGAAATCATGAAGATCTGCCAGATCTGAATGATACCAATAAGAACCAGATCTAAGTGGTGTCCCAACCTGTGGAGACAGAGAGGGAGGCTGGACTGTAGTAGCCCGTTTCAGCTCACTGTTTGTTGGAGTGGGTTGAGAGGAAACTCTGCTGGAGCTCTGTGACTGACTGGGCAACCCTGCCACAGTCAGGGTGATTGGACTGGTCACTGGAAGATTCCCCCCTGGACCGACCTGCGACGCGCACGTACAGAGATGAGCATGTATTTGCAGTTTATCTTTTAAAGTAAAACATATCAGAACAGCCAGGTTAGCGAATGACATTATTTCACAGTTATTATTTAGCGTTACTATCATTATTATTGCTGTTATTTCACACTGATTTCTGAGACTGTTGATAAATCATTTATAGCAATGGACGTCATTAAAAAAAAGCTGAATTTATGAATGCAAGATTGACAGAGATGTTTTATGTTCATATGATTGCTGTTGCCACTTCCAGAAAGTATCACTCTGATGTCACCCACATTCATTTCTTACCTGTGTGAACACGAGGCCGGGCTGGCCCACTATCTGGCAGGTCTGCAGGATGGACTGCAGCCCATTAGCAGCTGCTGAGAGCTGGTGCGCAGGTATAACAGTGATGGTCTGAGGCACTGTATGCACGGTCCCATTAAATTGTTTCCTTCTGGCCTCTTCCACTTCTTCGGGAGTCCAGCTGACACCATGTTTCAGTCGTTGGGCAGAGAACCAAACCTATAGAGGGAACAAGTACACTTTACTGTAACCTTTAACTAAAAAAAGGAAAAAGAGTGGCTTAGGGGTCCCAAGTAGTTCCTCTGGTTGAGCTGGCATCACATATACAGAGGCAAAAGCTTCTGATGCAGTTAGCTAGGGCTCGAGTACCAGCTCTGACCTTTTGCTGCATTTCTTCCCCTTTCTCTTAGCACATGTCACATGTTTTCACATCAAGCAACTTTCCCAAAAAGCTCACAAGAGTGGAAGAAAATGTGTCAACCAAGGACTAAGGGGGTATTTCACTTAATGGAACACACAGAGACTGTATAGATAAAACATGCCATCTTTCAGTTGATCGCTTTTGCTGTCAGATCTACTCTATTTTGTGCTTCTTTGCAGTTTGCCTAATGTTTCCTTTTCTTTTTACCTTGATCTGCTCTTCTGTGAACTGTGTCTGTGCTGAGAGGCAGCTGATTTCTGCCATGGACGGGTAAGGAAACTTCTTGTAAGTGCTGCACAGCAGGGGGTTGGTGTCCATAGCGGCACTGTAGGAGGGGATACTGCTGAGGGGAATCAGCAGCTGCGGCTGAGCTGCTGCACTCTGCTGGGCCTGGAAGGCAGAAAGCACCTGGAAGCACAGAGGGAGAGAACTGAGGAACACTTCTCTGCTAATGTGATTAATTAGAAAAGGTAAGATCATACATGGGCCCTATATAAAGTGAACAATCAATACTCCGCTCTTTACCTGTGCTAGACTAGCAGGCAGAAGAGTTGGGTTTAAAATTGATGATTTCCTCTGCTGCTCCGCTGGCGAACTGACCAAGAAGCCGCCTCCCCCAAATTTCATCGGGTCGTGCAGCAACATCTCCACGGGGGTCATTGGTCCCAGTGGGGCTTCAATGGGCTCCTGCTCTCCACTCAACTCACCCTCACCTCCTCCTGCCAAACCCTCTGCCGCCTCGTCTGCTGATTTCAGGGACACGGCTATTTTCTTGGGTTCGGATTTGGTCTTCATCCTCATGATTGGAGTCTTGCTCAGAGAGATGCCGGACACAGCCCCCGGGTCTGCTCCGCACTCCGCCGGGGAATCCTTCTGCTGGTCCTGGACCGGCTGATTGGCGCTCAGGTCCTCAGGAGGATCTGGAGCTCTGGATTTCAGAGAGGAGCTGACAGCGGTGTTTTCCTCAACATCAGAGACACTGGCCTCATCTGTAGTGGTCAGAAAAACAATCTGTTGTGGCGTGTATTTGCGTTGTGTTTTCAGTGAGTTTAAATTTACTATCATCTTAAGTGAAGGCCTACAAAGTGGCATTGTTACTTATGCATGAAAGACTCTCACCTGCATCAGGTGGAGCAGAGACAGCCACTGCAGCGTGACCGAGCTCCTCCACAGTCTGCCCCTCCTCTGTTCCCTCCTTCACCTTCCCCTCATACTTCTCCTCCTCTGTCTCTTCGTCTTTTGTCCTCTCTGTTTTCTCCTCAACAATCTCCTGCTCCACCACATCAGAAGGCAGCACCATGCATGGCGTGGTGGATTTCCGGCGACTTGACATAGTCAAACCAAGCTGGACCAAACTGTTCGCTTCTGTTTGAGGTAAAGATGATCTGTGGCTCGACCGTTGAGGTTCACATATTGTAGGTAGCTGACCTCACATGCCAGGGTCCTGGGCTTTTTTAAATTATTCTGGTGGAAGAAGCAAAACATGTAAGTCAGTCAGACGCAAGACCTGATGCTCCAGATTTGATGAATAAAGCAGCATTGGTTTCATTTGCCTGCAACAGGGGGGTTAACAGTGTGGTGGCAGTAGGTCATCTTAAAGGTGTATAGCTTTCTGAATATGCTCTTTTTCATTTAGAAATTATCTGTCACTCTTCAAAACATTTCCACATTTCTTTTTTTATCTAAACTCTTAATGGAGACATTTATCGCTTTGTCTGATCAATCTGATATGTTTTCAAACATGCAAATAAAAAAATCCGACAAATCTAAACTCTAACAACACAGACTCCTCTTGAATGGATGGTTCTGTGATAGCACTATACGGATGCAAATGAAAACGACAGGGCCAAAAACCTTAAAAAGGTCAAAAAGAGTAGGCTCTTGTCATTTTGACAGCACTTCATCTCAGGCCCTGAATGACTAATTAAGTGTATTCTTTAAGTACTAAATTGCAATCTTGTTATTGAATGCATGATTGACTTTGCAGTATTTTCTCTCTTTTCTGTTTATATTGCATGTACTTTAATTGAGGGGTAAAAGTTTAAACAATGTTGAGAGCAAAGCGCTGGGATCATTTCAGTAATATTCGTTAAAACCATATTATAACAATCCCAAAAAGAAATCGGGTACTACCAGAATCCCCCGCATTTTCTCCAACGTGTGACACATAATGCCAATTTGAAACAAACAATAAAACAAATTGGTTCTGTGTTTGATTGATAGCTGTCGCATTTCACGTGATGTGTGCTATGTGATCGCAACCGCTGTGTAAATATTCACCTGTCGCACAGATGTTTTATGCTTTTGGGTCAACCTCTCATGTCCTGGTGCTGGTCAAATCTCTGTCAGTTCGTTATTCGGCGGTAACAACTGTGTTCACGACGCTGCGCCGCTCTGCCATCGTGATTTAACCTGAACTGGGTTAGCGGCTTGATAATAGGTGAGCTAGCAAATTCTTAATTATCGAAATAACACCAAAACAGTCATTTTCCTTACATACAAGGAGCTCTATATTAGCTATGCACCACCCGGGATGTAGATAATTCGGGCCAACTAGCCGGTGTTAGCCGGGCCAGTCATTACCACTTCTGGCGGTAAACTTGCTACAACTACAGAAATGTGCACTGTGTTGCTACCAGGGCTGTGGAAACGAAGCGTGGCTTGATTTCCTGAGTGTCGTCAGAACAGCCTCCAGGTTGTCTGCGGTGGTGTCTGTCCGTGTAGCTCCTTCCCCCGGCTAAGCATTCAGACCCAGCCCGGCCAGGGTGGCAGCGGCGTCAACGCTATTTGCGCTCGCGGGTCTCCCAAAACCCAGCCGAGAGACAGACAGACAGACAGGCGGACCGGTCTAACCGCTACGGCTCTCGTTTGCAGATGCTGGACATCTCTTCCTCGGAGCGGGTTTATTGTACGACAGCAGCGTGTCTGTGCGAAAGTTCAGATATCGGGCAGACGACGAAGCAGCTGTTTGTGACGGGACTGTCGGCGCTCTGTTGTTTGCTGACCTATTTTCCCATATTTTTTTTTTTTTTTAACGGCGGATTTTTTTTTTTAATGATCAAACGGCGTCATCATTCAATGTGATACGTCCTGACGTCATTCCTCAGCGACTTTCGTAGCTCTAAAAAATGTAGACAACTTGGTAATATATCTTCTTTCATACCTCCACGGCCAACATTTCAGGTGATTGGGTAAACTGTCAAAGAGTCTACAAACCAGCAGGGTGTTGAAAAGTGTGCAGAAGGCCGTAAAAACATCCATTAGTCGTTACGGCTGTCTGCCAGGCTGTCCTTAAATGACCTGTCGAGGCAGTTCGAGAAGCTACTTGAGGACACAACCGACGCTGAGCGATTCCTGCATTCGGGCTGATCCTGTTTGCAATTACTCTTCAGTCATTTCGGATGCATATTTCAACTTTCTCTGTTCTGCGCTTAAAATACTCTGTGTAAAAACTAAAACAGTTAAAAAAAGGTTGATAACCATTTAAAAAAAGCTAAGTATGTTTTAGTAAAATACATGCATTGCTTTTGGCGAGGGTCAGCAAATGTCCATAGATATTGTCTTTTATGCAATAAAGCTATAAAAAAAAGTTTACAGTTTCTTAATGTATTATCACAATTAAGCAGTTAGACAGCACCAACCATCTAATGACAGATTTCCTGTAGAATTATTTTCAACAAAATTTGATTGACTTCCATAGAATACTTAAGTACACACAATGTTTTCCAGTGTGAATGTCAGAACGGAGTTTGCTAGGGTTTGCTAACAATTATGGCAAAAATCCAGATCATCAGCAATGACATTTTTCACAAAACATGTACTTTGTAATCAAACGAATCCAATGAGACTGAAATTTTCTGCTTGTTTAAAAAAAAAAGAAGAAGAAAGAGGAAAACACGTTTTGGGGGTTTTCACATTTAATTACATATCAACAAAAAGTTTAAACAAAGTTTAAACTGGAGCACTAATGTAATCTTGGCAGATGAAAATGGAACCGATGTTTGTATATTTACACAGTTGAGAGGATAATCACACTAAAAATGGTCGTATACTTCCAATATAAAAGTCAACAGAAGTCTTCAACCTCTCGTTCCAACTCCTAATAAAAAACAAGACATCAAAAGAAAAGCAGAGTAAGAAAATGAAAAACAACTGAGACAATAATAACTGTATTTTGGGAGGGGGGGGGCATGTTAATGTGATAAGAAATACATAAATGTAATGTCGTTAAAATGCGTCAGTATCCTGCTGTTATTTTTAAAGTTGTTTCACTGACATCATCAAATGTTATTAGTTCCACATCTGCCTTTCCTTCACTAAAAAGCAGAACTAAATAAAGCAGTACCGACCTGTGTTAGAGCAGTTTTATCGTGGTCACGTCTGTGTCTGTAGATGCTCTGGCAGAGCAGGGCGTAGAGTTTTTCAAGCTTGTACACCTCATAGCCTTCAGTCTTTGAAACGACCCTCTCCAACAGCTCCTGTAAGGAGAAAAAAATACATTCAAACATCTAACAACAATTAGCTTTATGTCCTCTCTGGTGAACATTTGAGGGAAGATGAGTGTACAAAGCCCTCTTCTCCCCCTTTGGTTTTCCTGTTAAAAAGTAATAAGCCCAGATATTTGGGGGAGTATCACACACACCTTTAACTTGTCTCTGTCCACTACCAGAGGAGGGGTTTCCTGCTCCAGAATCTGCTGGGCTTTGTCCACGTTGATAATCTGCTGGTGCAGCATGGAGTTTTTCAGAGCCCGGGTCATCCGCCTCGTGTTTCGTTCTGAAATAAAATACACATAAAGTGATAAGACTCAATAACATAAGACGGCAGCTTAGTGATACATTGGCGCTGAATCTTTGATCGTCTCTTCGATTTGGCACAATCTATGCAAGCATTACAATATTTAGCGTGTATACAATTGTATTTGGTACAGATGTGGTGTTAAGATATTAAATAAAGCAGCCAGGCTTGATGTGAGCCAACCTGTGCCTGTGTCCGTCTCTGCCGTGGTGGCCGCGGAGGCTTCCAGGGTTGTGCTTGCTGTTGTGTCCACCTCCATCGGCTCTGCGGGAGTGTTCATCTGTGCCCCCTCTGTTGGAGCCATTTGGCTCTCTGGTTCTTCTTCAGCAGGCTGGTTCATCACAGCTGGACTCTCAGACTGATTTTGACTGACAGTTTCTTGTGTTGTGGCATTGTGGGAATCTCCTTCCGCCTCTGTGTGGCTGTCCTTGTTAATGATCACTGAGGCGGATTCGTGGCTCTCGTCTTCTTTTTTGTTTTCATTTTCAGACATTCCCGACTGACGACGGACAGCTTTGTCTTTTTTGTTCAGTGTTTGGCTGTCATGTTCTGGCTTCTCTTGCTCACAAAGAACATCCTCACCCTCAGGGAGTGCTTTCATCTCTACTCGCTGCTCGTCCTCCTCCTCCTCCTCCTCAATATTCTGTTGTCTTGTATTTGAACTACCTTCTTGAGCTTTAACAGTTTGTGGCTCCTGTTCAGCAACTTCCTCTGCTTCATTGCCCTGCTGATGCTCTGCTCCGTCTCCCTTCTCAGCATCGTCTTCATCATCTTCCTCATCCTCACCAGAGCCCAACTGTATGTCATCTCTGGACACGTGAAGAGAAGTGGAAGTTTTCCTCTTTGTGATGATGCCACTAGACCAGCGACTTTTCCGGCGTTTCCTCCTCTGGACTGGAAGAACAGGAAACAAACGGACAAAAAAAACTAAGCTATAATTTCTTCAAATCTCTACTAACTAATTAATATTCCCTGAAGTCAAAAATAGTTCCTACCTGTGTTTTTAGGTGTTGTAACGACAGCTGTATTGGGTGCAACAGTGCCTGTGAATCCATTTGCTTCTCTTTGCGGGGCCAAGTCAGTCATGTCGGCTTCTACAGGTTTGGGCTGTTTGGGAAGGACATGGTAGAACGTGGGAGCAAATCGTGCTGTGGAGCAACCTGAGGATGTTAAATGATGAAAAATGTATTATGTGAATGGATTTTCTTTAGTGTAACCTTTGTTTTAATTAAATGTATTCAGGACAGAAAAAACAACACACAAAGTACTGACCTCTTGTTCTGCGCGATTCTTTGATCTCCTCGCAGATTTTCTCAAAATCTTCATCTAATTCTTCTCTGATGATGGCATGTACGGTGTCCTTCAGCGCACATGCTCTGTGGCGGATTTGGCGATCTGGTAAAAAAAAAAGACGCGCCAACATACAGTCACCCTTAAATCAGTCAGAATGCAAATTGGAAATGTATATTCTCTTTGAATGGATGAGTTAATACTCTTAATAGTACCTGAAGGATCCCTATCGGGGTTGTATTCCAGAGCATTCTGCCAGATGAGATCCACATCTCTCAGAAACTCTTTGACAGTTTTGTACTGATGGAGATCTATCTTGGATAGAACTGTTGATAGGTCCATAGGTTTTTTGATCACTTCGGCATAATCTGGAACCTATGTGGCAAAATTCAAGTAGAAGTACATTTCCATCCGTTTATGTTACCCAGAGCTGGTGAAGCCCCCCGTCCTCTCTCCCTCACTCCTCACACCCTTAAAACTAATTTCATTCCAAAACACAGCATATGCAATGAATGACATCACAACCTTTTCAGCTTTAAGTTAAAGAAAATCACACATAGGGCTACCTCCTCCAAATCCACAGGTTTAGTGAAGGCTTTGAAACGTTTATCTTGGGACAGCCGGTTTGTGACGTCACGCAAAAAGAGACGAAGTTCCCTGAAGGTGTCTTCTTCTTGCTCGATCAGTCTCTGGCTCTCTTCCTCTGTCAGCTGACGTGGGGGAGGTGGAGGGGCGACTGGAAGCACCTCCAAAGCATGAAGCACTGCCGTTGGGAAGGACACAATTCAGACAAAATATGCAATGAAATAAATTACTGGCAAAAAAACTGGCAAAGTATGCTTTTTTGTAACACAAAGTACATTTAAATTGGCTGTACTGTTTTTGTCTAATATGTGAATCTTTCTTCTATTTTATTGTTTTAATAAAACCATTTTTGTGTCATGTCATATAAAAACTAATACAATTAAAGTACTTTTTAAATTAATGAATTAGTGAACCCCTACCAGCTTTTCTTTTTGAGGCAGGGGCTTTTGCAGCCTGGTTGAGAATTAAATCCTCAAAGAAGTCCCTTCTCTCTCGGCTGGTAGGGACCTGAATGTGAAAGACCTCTCCGTATTCAACTCGAAACAACTCCTGTACCTAAAACAGAAACAATAGAGGTGATCGGTTTCATTCAGGGCAGACAGCAGCTTGAATACAAGCAAGCACTGCTGTGTTCAAGAGTATGACCATCACAGGTCTTTTGCCCACACCTCGGTACTGAGTTGGTCATAATGGAGGCTGCAGGTAGCCAACAGCAGGATAGGAGAGAAAGCAGGGATGGAGCTAAGGAGGCTCAAGAAGGTAGCTCTTAAGGCAGGACCCACTGTTTCCCACCACTGTCCGATGTGTGGGATGTACAGGATGCTGGGAGAGGTGCGCTTGGCTTCAACAAAAATCTGCAGAGTATTAAACACAGGTACACTTGTCACTACAAAAAGCCTAATTCAAGTTAAACAATAGAACCATGAAAGAACAGAGCAAAATATTGAAAGTTGAATTTATTTGATGGTAAAGTAGTGTGTAAGCACAATTAAGTGCAGCTACATAAGCTGTAAACTGGTAGAAGTCTTTGGAATTTTTTGATTGTGTCTGTAGCACATAATTATTCCCACCTCTCGCAACAGAAGATGGTGAGGCTCATGAACTACGTTTGATGTGGCAGCCATTTTGGCCAGTGAAGTTCACTTAAAGGAACACACTGAATTTGACAAGGCTGCAAAAGCGGACTTCCTCACCACCTCAACTTAACTGGGGCTCTGCTTTTATAGCAGTGCACATCCACACACAAGTTACAAATGAGTAAGTTCTTCTTGGTCACCTGTGCGCAGGTTTCTTCAGGCGCTGTTGCACTGGTCCCAAACAGCACGGCCATGTCCAGAGTGTACACAGTGAATTTTTCCAGAGCATGGAGAAAAGCAGGGGCCAAATGGGAGGTTTGCCCTGATCCTGGTCTGCCCTCCAGCAAAAGCCTGGGACGGTAGGACGTCGGCTGACTTAATACGCTTCTATTCAGGAGAGATGAGGAGAGGTTAACATTTAGTCCTACTTAACCTTTAGAGAACTTATTGGCTTGCCGATATGAGCTTTAGTAAGATATGGGACACAGTCTCTGATGGCTAAGGTAGGCTAAGGGGCTTATCCTACTACTCAAAAAGTAGTGGGATAAACCTCTTGTTATCACAGAGGTTGTTTTTTTTTCAGCAAACCTGTTCAGGCTAAGGAAGCCATTGGTGGTAGGTTGAGGGGTCTGTCCACTGGAGGAGACTTCAGGGTCCTCTTCCTCACTAAACATCAGGTCATCATCAGACAAACAACAGGCCGCATCTGGAAGAATAGCCACATGTCAGATAGCTCAATGCCAACAGATGCTAAAGATAAAAAAACAAACTATAAACCTTTGGTGCACTGCAACCATAATGGTGAAAGTAGGAGTGAAACAGGTTGTACCGTGTTCTCTCTTCTTCTTGAATCCCTGCTCAGCATGTGGGAACACTCTGCTGACTGTGTGGAGGATCTTCTTCAAGGTGGAGCTGAGCAGAGGACGGATGGCCGGTATTAAGGCTTTGGCTGGCGACACAACTGCCCTGAAGCACACAAAAAGAAGGCAATTGGTTTCGGTAAGCAGCAACTAGATGTAGATGCTGTATCAGAAGTGTCCTTCGTGTTTGGAGGGCCTACCTCTGGGCAGCTGGCACCATTTTGGACATCGCACACATAAAGTCTTTGTTAGAGATGACAATGGAGTTTACGTCCAACATCAGCTTCTGTGATGAGGAGTAGATCTGAGGGTAGCGGCGCCGCAGGGCACACAGGGCTGCCTCTGAACACACCGCTTTGATATCTGCTCCACAATAGCCTAAAAAAACAATCCAATTCTTATGGCAAGCAAGAGACTTTATACATCTATAAATCATGGAGCCAATGGCTGTGAAACACATCCTTTCCCTTTGGCTAATTCCTGGAATGGATAGAAACAACTTTTGACTTTGAAACCCAGTAATAGGGTATGGAAACCTGCACTGACGCAGCTTTTAAGCAAACTGTGGGATCATCTCTCACTCCGCTTCAATACATTATCTTACATTATTCTACGAAAACTTACCAACACACTTCTCTGCAAGTTCTTCCAGGAAAGTGTCAGCAGGAGGAGGACTCCATTGTCTGGTGTGGATCTTCAGAATGTCCTTTCTCGCCTTTCATGAAAATCAGAGCATCAGAAGTCAGAGATTATCTGACATCTTATGCATCGGTGCCCACTTTGACTTCAAAAAGATGTTATGTATCGAATTCATCATAGAAAAATGAGTATAGCTCACCTCTCTGTCTGGTAAGCCAAAGAGGAACTCTCTGTCAAATCGTCCTGGTCGTCTCAGAGCTGGGTCGATGGAGTCCAGTCTGTTTGTAGCTCCGATGACAACAACTTCACCTCTGCTGTCTAATCCATCCATCAGAGCCAAGAGAGTGGATACAATTGAGCTAAAGCAAAGAAAGAATGAAAGAAAGAAAGAAAAACACGTCAAAAAGCTATGCAGAACTAGCATCTTTGTAATAGTGGACAGACTTGATGCATACACTGCATGGAGAGAACAGCTGACCTGTGGATCTGGTCCTGGCGACTCGACCTGACAGGAGCCAAACCATCAATTTCATCAAAGAAGATGATGGATGGGCGCATCTGATAAGCCTACAAAGAATTCAGGTGGAATTAAATCCCCTATAGCTATTGATGGTAAAATTATAGCAGCATCAACTTGAGTCACATATAAGATCAAGTGTCCAACATTTAAAAAAGTTACAGGAGTGAGAAGTTCATGCTTTGTCAAAAATGGTCTATTTGAGCAGAGGGCTAAAAAAAAAGCTCCAAAAGAAGGCAGAGGAGTTCAGCTTACCTGGTCAAACAGTAGCCGTAACTGTCTCTCAGATTCTCCCACCCACTTACTAAGACAGTCGGCTCCTTTCCTCATGAAGAATGAAACCTTTCTTTCCCCTTGGCTGCACTCGTTGGCCAGAGCTCTGGCCACCAGGGTTTTCCCAGTGCCAGGAGGACCGTAAAACAGACAGCCCCTGAGGACGAGAGAAAACACAGACAGATGATGTCAAATGAGGCAGAGAACAGACTGATAAGAGACTCAATAGATAACCAGGAAAATAAATTGATCAGTCGCAAAAGTAAAATACAACGACATGAAACACACAATTAATTCTGGCCCAAATTCAGAAATGGAAACTGAAAAAGACTGACACCAAACACATGTTACTCACCTTGGAGGTTGTATCTTGAACCTCTCAAAGACCTCTGGGTAAAGCAGAGGGAACACCACCATCTCCTTCAGAGCAGAAATGTGTCTGCTAAGACCTCCGATGCTGTCAAAGCACACCTAAATGAGGTGTACAACGTGTCAAAACAGCAACTAGAACAGTCTTGAGTCAAACTGATAGGAAACAACATGGAATTGTTAGCATTTATAAGATTAATCCGTTTCTCAGATGAGAATAAACATGATGTGGATGTTTGAACCATGGGAGGAGTACCATTTAGTAGGAGTTAATACGATATACTGGCAATGCTCCATACAGTAAATTAAATAATTACAAGTCTTTCTTTCTGAGTTTCATCCACAGGTTCCCCATCTGCTCCTGGATAGGAAACACTTTACTTTTACCTTTGCTACAGACATCAGGAGAAATAAACCAATGTGCTGATGAGACAGGTATAAGGTTTACCAATATTTCTGTCATTTCTGTTGATTAATGGGAAAGCCTACCAGATGCACACAATACTCTACCATACATTTACCTTTTAAAAGCATAGATGATGTTATATTTCCCAAAGGAAAATTGGAGGAAATATTACCTGTGTCTCCCTTTCTGTTTCAGCTTACCGTTTTGTCTATGTGCATGGGATCCACATCAGCCAGGCTGGCTCCGATTTTCATCCGGTCCTTGTGGATCCCCAGCAGGTCTTCTTTGATAAGGTTCATTGGCAGACACCTTCAGAAAAAGTGGGAAAATATATATAGTGACTATCAATATCCTGCAACTCACTGGTACAACTCCAAGAGTAAATATTAAAACAGGAAATAAACATAGCACGACAGGGGGATGGGTTCTGAAGCTTGTGGTCACTTAAGGATATCAAGACGCAGATGGTCTCACCTGTTGACCGACCTGCTTCTGTTCATACTCCTGCGTCTCTGGAATTTCTCCTCGTCTGAAGACGAAGATGTTGAGTCACTACTGTGGATGGCATGTCTCCGTCTACCAGGTCAAAAGATGCTAAATGTAATTTCCTTTTTAAGTGAAAAGAGTCATTTCAAGCCTGTATGTCACTCTTTATAACAAGCCCAGGCTTACAAAAGGGCCAATCAAGATAAAAAAAGCTTTAGCCTTAATTTGAATATCATTGCGATGTGGTAATATGCCTGCAATAAATAATAAGGAAATGCTGAAAGGCATATCTGCATCAACAACTCAGATTTGAATAAAAACTTTAAATGATTAAATCAACATGCACAAAACCTGGCAGACACCCATCTCAAAAACAACACTGGAACCCCGTCGACCTTTAAAAGAAGTTTTGGATTTGGATTTGATGCAAGAAAAATAAAAATGTTATGAAAGTAAAGACTAAACAAAAAAACGTTAATCATCTCCCAAATGTTGCAAATAGACAGACACGTGTGGCCTTGCACACATCTGTTCTCATAACATGGAAAAGAGCCAGTTGTGTGTACTTATGGTGCGAGTGTCATACTTAGCATTCCCCAAATGAGACACCAAACCAACAACCCCAGTGCTAACAAAGACAAACAGCACCCAAGACACAAACTAAACAAAAACTCTAAATGCCAACACAGACAATTAGTGAAGATCTTACCGATCAGAACTACTCCTGACGATGGGAGGAAGAGAAACAGAAACAAAGGGGGGGAAAAAAAAGAATTTTGGGATGGCTTCCACAAGAAATGATTACCAGGTGGCAGTAAAAGACATTCAATGAAAAACTATGAAAAAAAAAGGTCTATACGGGTCTGTGAGCTATGAAGCAATTACAACTAAGTAAAATGAGGACAATTGGGACCATTTTGTATCAACAAACAAGCACAAATAGTATAAAATTTTTCTAAATGTAATTCAGTGGGTTTCTTTTTTTTTTTTACATCCCCAAAAATGGTCAAATATATTGGTAAGATCATGGACTCCAGCGAAAACAAATCTGTTAAGAGTTCAGGGTGGCCATACTGACCTGCTGGGCCTCCTCCTGTTATAGGGGCTCCTGGGGGCTGTGGAGCTGAATCTGAACCTGCGTCTGGTCGGAGACGAGTGCTCTTTGAAGTACATGCTGCGTTTCCTGGGTTCCTTGGGTTCTGAAGAGGGATCGATAAACATTTTCAAACATTTAATCCCAAAGTCCATTTAAAATGTCAGGTCCTTCTTATGCTGGTCCCTGACTTGATTTCTCATTCAGCCACATGGAAATACCATCTTGAGGGGCCTGGTAGAGAACTACAGTCTTTCTCTGCCGGAAGTCATAACGCTGCTGGTGTTCTTCTTCCTCATCCTCTCCATCCTCATCTTCGTCTTCTTCATCCTCATCCTCATCTTCTCTATCCTCTTCATCATTATCATCTTCATCCCTTCCTGTAAAGAAACGAAAAACATGGTGTCAGCATTCTGGGGCTTTTTAACTTGAGGGTCTTAAAATAAAAAAAGAAGAAAAAACAAAGTTAAGAAAGAAAAACAAGTTCCTACCATTTTTTACCAACTGGTTGGCATTGGGTGACACACATGACTACGGCACACACAAAGAGGAGCAATCTTTCCACTCTGGAGTAACAATATTTGTTGAGTAACAATAGGAAGCAGTGAACACAGAATTCACTTTTTTGCTGAAGACATCATACTTTTTTTTATCTGACACAACCCTTCCTGCCTTTTTTCACACAATAGCAACCTTTGGAAAAATCTCATGCTATAAAGTCAACTAAACCAAGTCTAATATTATGTTTCTGAATGACAAAGAAAGAAATAACCCAACAGTAGGGAACGAAAGGATTATGTGTACATATATGACTCTTTCCCTTTTACACTGCTTCAACAACAACCCTGACCTCGAATTACACTTTATCACTGCCTGTGGACCTGCCCTAAAATTAGGGAATTTTGGGAAAAGGTATTAGAACGAGTCTCTGACATTAGCTCCACCAGATTGCCCGTCTGTCCTAAGTTGTTCATTCTTGGACTTGTCCCAACAGACTTAAGATTGTCGAATGCAGAGAAAAAGATGGTATATATGTGCTCATTACCAGCTAAACACTGTATTGCCATCTCATGGAAAGCTGTGGAAGCACCGTCTGACAAAGTTTGGTTCAAGACCCTGTCTAACACTCTGGCCATGGAAAAAGGGACTTATGCTAAAAAAAAGGAAGCTACAAAGTTTATACAAAGTATAGGAACAATTTACAGACTTCTTAGAAAGCCAGCAAGATGTGCAAGATGCATAGGATGTATATGAAAGTGGAAAAATGTAAACAAGAACATAAAGAAAACAACACACAAAAAAAACTTGGGACTGGATGCCTTTTAAAATATTTACCAGTCATATTGCTGGAGTGATCGCCCAATTAAACCCGCTCACCTTTGTTGCTGTCCTCGTTTTTTTTGCTCCCTGCATTAGCCCTCAGAGACCGCCTCATTCTGCCACTGTACAGTCCCAGCGGCTAAAATTAAATCGAAGCAAAAACTGATCAACTTAACTGTTTGCAATCAGTTTCATAGTGTCACATTCATCATAAATACTAGAAATGCAAAGCCAAATGTAGAGCTTGAACCACCTGTGTGGAATGTTACCTCTTCTTTAGTGTCTTTGCTCCTCAGCCGTCGTCTCAATTTCTGCATGTCGTCCATCTTTTGGAGAACAGCTTCAGCAGTGCTGAAGGACAGTGGTCATATAAAGAGAACTCCTTTAATACAGAGGGGTACTGAAGGAAGTCAGAAAAAAAAAGCTGAAGGTTACTGCACTTACTTGGTGATGAGGCGGTCGTACAGAACTGACTGGTTACGAGAATTCAGTTTGTATCTGGTGATTCGAGAGCTTCGTCGCACCGATCCATCCTCCTCCTCCTCCTCTTCTTCAGTATCTCGGCTTCGTAGGTTAAACCGACTTCTTTTGGGAGTGGACGACCCCTCCACTTCATCTGGAACCTCTGGGGAGTGGAAATATGGTACATGCCCTATTGAAAACAGTGTGATGCCTCAATGCGCTTTGCACGTGTGTTTGACAGAGTTTGGGCTTTTCAGTTCTTAACAAAGTAATCTGTAGTCTACTGTACCGGCTTGTTGCTTTCCACTGGATGCTTTACCTTCTCTCTGCAGCCTGGAAGACTTCCTGGAGAAAGAAAACAGGTAAAATATACTTTCATAGAGTACACATAAAACGTACATAGTTTGTTGTGCTTCTTTAAGTGTCTATATTTAAATATTGCATTAATATCAATATTCAATTGTCATTTAAACATGGTATAAACAAAGTCTATGCACCATGCCCAAGTTACTAAATATGTATCCCTCATAGAACAAATGAATCTCACACAGTGAAACCAGAAGCGAGTTATGCTGCATTACCTGGTGCAGCAGCCTTCAACTTTGTGTTCATCACCAGGAGAGCTGGTCTTTGGATCCATGTCAGAAAAAGACACCTCGAGTTTAAGTCTTTGTTTCCTGGTCCTGAGGGAGTGATGGAGTCCACTTCCATCCTGCAGCTTCAAATCAGTATGCCCCTGATACCGTGACAATGGCTTTATTTAGTTAGGGATTTAAATGAATTATGGGTCATATATTTCTATGAACTTGCATGTACAAATTTAAAAAGCTGTTATAATTCCCTTCTTATTAGTGATCACTAAGACATTTAATAAACAAATGACTGCTGACTTCACAAATATACACCGAATGAATCAATACCCCTTCAAACATTGGCTTTAAGCCCTTGAAATTGTTTTTTTTTTACACTGACTAAATCAAGGACAACTCTTCTGGGTCTCAGTGACTCTCCCAATTGCAAGGCTTAAGACAATCTGACAAATGTTCTTCAATAAATAAGTCATTGTGTATGAACTCCCCTGAGGGCTGCAGCTGATATCTGTACAGCAGATACTTTCCTCAGAGTCCTGTTAAGGATCTTAGATGGTATTCTATTCACCAGTAAGTAAGTGTTTTCACAATTTCACCCCAAACTAGTCTAAAAGGTAAATAAGTCCTCGAAAACAACAAGTTCCAAATATAAACAAAATCAACATGTGATCTAAGTTGCATTACCAGCCAATTGGATTTGTTATTTCTCTTACGAGTACATGCTGCATAACAACAAAATAATAAGTGACCAAAGTAACCACCATGATGACTAAACATGGGATTCAATAATTATGACTGTATATGTGAATCAACAAACATCCAGAAGCTCAAAGCTATTCAAAGTCATACACTTTGTGATACTAATGTATCGATTAAGGCTGCAGCTAAATGACTAGATAGAAGAGCAGTGGGCTAGTTAGCTTAGCGTGCTAATACAACAAAGTTGCATTCAATGACAACTTACTTAACAAACAAATTGCATTTCAAATAACTAAATGGTTACGTGCAAGTGTATTCTCACATTCACCGAGTTGTTTTCAGGGCTGCTAAAGCTGTCGTTAATGGACCGAGAAGACCGGGTGAGCCGAGCGGGCTTTCTCTGAGACGCGGGAACAAGCGACAGAAACTCGGAGCTTGCATCCAAATCCACCGTCCTCCTCTGAAGGGTAGTAGCCATCGGTTCGACTCCGGCGCCGCCGCCGCTGCGTAGTATCACCATTTTGGCGATTTGGTCAAGCGTATATAAACACTATTCACCAGAAGTCAGAACGTGTATCGGGAATGTATGGAAGGAAGCACCGACATAGCTAGTAACCAGCAAATATGCACCAGCTGACACACGAGGTCCACACTAAACCCTTGATTTCTGGCGCCATAAACGTCATCGGAGGTTGTGGGTAAGGGGCGATGAGCTGCCGCCGACAAAAATAGATCTCGCGCTAATACCGTAGCTTCTGGGTGACAGAAAAGCAACGCAAATATAGCCATGTAGTCAACATTGTGTTCTTGAATAGTCGCTGTTCTTGACATAATTGTACCGCAAGCAGAAATGTTAACGGACAAGCAGGCGGAGGAATACGTTTATTTGAAAAGGTGTTCCGGTGAACGTCAGAGCACGCCCTGCTCTGAAGCGCGCGCGCGTTTACGAAAAACTTTCGATCCGTTTCGTCACTTAATAAAATATTTAAAACCACGAATCAAAACCAAGTCACCATCTTTTATTTGAACGAGTGACAGATGCCATAAGAGAAAATACAAATTTAAGAATCGTTTCAAGCCTGAAGAAAAAAAGAGAATACGTGAGTGAAACTGCTGTGAAGGCAACCAGATCCTGAATGTAAAATCTCAAAACATTCCATTTTATCTCGTGTTCTGTTCTGCTTAAGTTGTTATGGGATGTAAGTCTACAAAATACTGACACCCTGAAGGATGTCAGGCTAAAGCTTTTTAAATCACATTACAGATTAAATGTTCTATTTTGTATAAAAGACAATACAACACACTTCAGACATAAGCTATTCAAATGAATGCATATTGCAATTTTTCTTGCTTTCTAAACTCAGTACATTGGTTTTTTCACAATTTATTATATGACACGATTCAATGGAGGAGTTGAGATTTCACTTCAGATCCCACATTCCTTCTCATCTGCACAGTAGCCAACTGCCACATTTCACAGTACCCAGGCATTAGTAATTAAGAAGGCCAATGAGTTTGGAACTAGAGTTTACCACCTAAAAGAAAAATCATTTAACGCTTGGCCAGTCTATTGGTGACTGCCAATGAATGAGGCAGCTGCAGGTTTATTCTGAAGTTTGGGGACCAAATAGGTAACCACGGCATAACAAGATCCAACTATCTGTATAACTGGGTAGCAGAAATGTGTTGAGGGGCTTTTGGCTACTGTGCGATTAATTCTATGCCTTGACATGTGGGGATGGGGCTGGGCTGTCAGGGAGGATGTGTTCACGCAATGGCAGCCAAGTAGTCTTTCACTTCCGCTGGGGTGAGCCTTTTGAAGCCAGCCTCATTGCAGATCCCCACCTCGATATTCTCCTCTGTCATCTGACCCTCGAAACTCTCCTGAAACACAAATACAGCTAGATTTTACATAACTGATACAAAAGGGAGAGCCAGAATATGGCCAGACAAAATTTTCTGAGTACAGTTCACAAAAAAAACATACCTTCAATGTGAGGATGGCTGTGTGGATGGCATCTTCTAACTCAAGGTCATTGTTATATCTGAGCACAAATGATAAAGACATCAAAAATACGCATCTTTGCGTCTAATGCAATGTCTGTCATTATGATTTTTAGCAAAGGATAAAGAATCAAGACTCATTAGCTAAAAATATATATCGTTTTTCATGCATAGTCAAGTCAAAATGAGTCAAAATACTTTTTACATCATACTCCTTGATTGCATATGTAATCATAGTAACCTTAAAGAGCTATGCTCTCAAGAATAACACTGAACTCTGTATCAAAATAAAAAGCTCAATCCAAATATCTTAAAAAATTATGCATTTAGTTTTACTGGACGGAGATTCTCATTGAAATCCTAAACTTGTACCTTTTCTCAAGGAATGTTTTTCCATTAACGTAGTTCTTTCCCATGGCTGTAGCTTTCCATGCAAAGTATGCACCCTGCCAGTAACAAACGAAAGCATAAACATCAGGAGGTTTTCAACAAGTCATACCTTTGAAACAATGCAATATGGTTTCAACAACTTTAACTGAATGAAGATTTATGACATACAGAGGGGTCGGATTGGAACAAATAGGGGTGGTCCTCATCCCATCCAGCAATCAGCAGAGACACCCCAAATGGACGCACTCCACTAGAGGGGAAAAGAAGCCAAATTAAAGGAACTGCATGTGACCTCATGCTGGTGTGAATCATGGGTCAGTTTTTGACCCCTTTAAATGACCAAAAATATCTAAATATTTTCATAGGGCTGAATTGAAATCTTGAAGAAAATGTTGAGAAAACAACAAAAATGTAATAATTGCTGATTCAGTAAAAACTGTTCCTTTACAACAGATGAACATACTTCTAAACAAATGGGTAAAAAATATGGTATACATGTAATTAAGTCTTTGCGATTACCCACCCAGACTGTGTGTACTCCTGCATCACAGAGGCAACTCTCTGAACAAGCTGGCCTGTGGGAATTGGCTCCTGGTACACCAGGTAGTACTGTTGTGCCAGCTTCCGGGCTCGTCGCACTAAAACCCTGCACAACAAAAGAAAAATGAATTAACTGTTGCCAGTGAAATTAAAAGGCCCTCGCATCTCAGTAAAGGATTAGGTTCCCATATTTCAAATACCAGGATGTGGAACTAAAAGATGCACATTGAAAATATTATGGGCATTATTCACCCCATTGCTCCTTTGTGTCAGTTTGATGTATAAAATTAAGTGGACATCACACAGTTACTCCATCTCTTAAGTGAGGTAATAAAAACTGCATTCATGCACATTCAATGACACTGCCCACCTGTAGTCAGGCCCCATGCCGCTGTAAACCATGCCTATGTGCTTAGTTATGGGCTCCACTTTATGGACACTCTGTTCATCGTAGAGAATGGACTTTTGCTTCTTCTCTGTCGCCAGTACAACACCATTTGAAGCTGAAACGATATCACAGCATCCATGCACATTTTAATTAAGGTAGACGTTTTCCATACAGCTTTCGTGTACATGCATGTTACACGCAAAGCTCAGAGCCTTCTTAGTTATCAATAGTACAATGCAATTAAAATGTATTACTGTATATGGTTCTGTTTACAAATAATTTTATTCCGGACAAGTAAGAGTAGATACACTTTTATTTACACGTTGTGCTTTATAATATGCCGTGATTAGACATCACTCCCTCCATTAGACATCTCGCTAATTTGCAGTGTTCCTCACCTTTGATGCCAACTGAAGGAGCTCCGGCTGCTACAGCTGCCAGCGCATACTCAATCTGGACCAGTTTACCAGAGGGGCTGCGGGGGGAAAAACACAGGACGTCCCGTAATCACGATTAAATAAAGAAGGGGGAAATATATCACATGCAGAAGAGGGAAATACGTTGGTTGAATAAAAAAAAACTATAGAAATTGCAAAAGCCGAAACTGAAAGTAAAAACAGAAACAAGTGACTCATCTAAGCTAACTTGCTAACCATCTCTGAAAATGGGAAACATTACAAAACGAACTTCCCTGACTTTTCGGTTCGTGTAAAACTGTTTTACAATATCCCGGCTCCTTAATAGCAAAGGGAAAATACAACTGTACCGTGTGATCAGTCTAAAACTGCGTTAGCCACTAGGCTAATACGCGATGTTAGCCGATTCATTATTCGGCAATGACAGTGCACCAACTTAAGCAGCTCCAAAACTATACCTCCACATCAAAAATTGGTCACGATTCATACATTTAATCTAAGCATAATTCAAAATAACCATTACATGTTCCAAATGTATGTTTCTTAATCTATTCCACAAGGTATTTTAACGTAATTTACCTAAATGTGGTGAGCGAGAAACTGTAGCCACGTTCCGCCATCTTGATCTTCTTCTTCTTCGCTGTGTAGACCAGAGACGACTAATTGCACACATTAATGTATACTGCCACCTGTAGAAAGAACATGAATAGCGTTACCACATGAGTTGTAAACATGTAATTAATTCAGCTTAATCAAACTCTTTTTATAAATTCTATAGAAAACAGATTTAATTATATGATATTTTTGTACTGTTTATTTTTCTTTTTTTTCATATAAAATGTGGACAGTTGTGTTCATTGTGAGTGACCTAGGGTTAATTAAGTTTACTCGAAAACTTTTTACATGGAAATGTGAGAAATTCCTTCAATCACAGACACACAAAAAATACAACAGTAATAGCATCCTAAAATATATAAAATGCATACACTGAACATTAAATAAGATTGTAGGGGTAATTTGAACAAAATTGATTACAGTTATTTGAAAAGTAAGTTAGATGAAGAAGTATATGAGGATTATTCAATATTTAAAACTTTACTTAAAGTCAACTGTCAGAAACCGCTACACGCAATATGTATCTAGTTGGAAAGTGTGTCTGACTTTTTAAGCAAGGCTGTCTTGTGTTTAGAGAAGCTAATATTTTCTTGACTGGCCTCCCTTAAAAACTTTCTGACAAATCAGAATATATCCCAGTTAGAAAACAAGTGACCACTAGATGGTAGTCAAATACAAACTCACATCCGGTCCACCAGACTAGAAGAAGAAGAGTTTGCTGTCGCCGTTCAATGACGTAGAAGGCCTGGATGACCGTGAGCTGTTTGGCATGTTTGAAGTAAAGGGAGCGTGCTAACCACAAAAATGATTAATTTACCAGTTTTGATTAACAGCCTCAGGTGCTCTTTGTTACGCATTGAAAGTAGACTCCTTCAGGCAGCTGGACTCGACACACAGCTGGGTGAGTTAACTTCGGCCATTAAATTAGCGCATCACTAAACTAGAGTGTGATGTCAAATTTTATTTAGCCCGGTATTTGACTGCCAGCAACCTTTGTTTGCACTTTTATATTAGCCATTTCCCTGTTGTCCAGGCATTTCCTGCGCAGAATGGAGTTATTAAAAATTTGCCGTTGTCCCCATGCAGCTCCGGGCCTGGCACTGAATGGTCCCAGCCTTCTGCCACAGCCTGACCTGGAGCATCAGGCGGAGGAGCAGCAGAGCGACGAGCAGCCCCCTGGCCTCTTCGATGGCATCCTGTGGATGGCAGCACCCAAGAAAAGACGCACAATTGAGGTCAACCGCACCAGGAGGAGAGACGAAAGGAAAATGCTGAAAGTTCAGGTACATTCAGCCTCCTTTCTGTGTAGTTTCAACCACTAAAACGCAGGCGCAAAATGTACTTTTCTTGTATATGTGTACAAAAAAAGATGCTTTGTTGTTTGACACTCAGTCAGTTTAATGTGTGGTTCACAGATCACAAATGTGAACTGAAAAGCAGATGTGATTTAGCAATAAAGAAACTACTCCACACCGTTTAAAGTACATGCTTACTATGGAAACCTGGCTTTAATGGCCTGCTGTGTATTCGTTACACACAGTAGGTGTGTTATTTAATATTGAGTAATTTCCCATTAAAACCAGCAAAATGCAAAGCTTTGTTTAAATAAGTTTAAAAGCTGGGGGAAAAAACGTGATTAACCCCAATGTAGGAACTGTTGATCTTTTTTACACGTTAGCTCAAATTTATTGGCAATTCATTGAAAAGTATTTTCTCATCAAATTTTCATGACTTGATTCAGATACTAAAGACATGTTCAGTTTTTGAACAGATCCAAATTCCTAAATTTTATCCTCTCTTATTCTCAGTGATTCTGATTGTAAAGGATGTCGGCTGGTATATTTTAAAAGATGTGACAAGTAATATATCATAGACAACTGGGAGACATGCCGTAATTCTTTCTTTTCCTTTGTCTCTCAGAACAACATTGAGCCGTGTACAGAGTGTGGCCACTTGAAGCAGAAACATGTCCTGTGTGCCTTCTGTTATGCAAAAGTATGCAGAGAGACCGCTGTTATCCGCCAGCAGATCAGTGCAATGGAAGGCGGGCCCCTGAGGGCCCCACCTGTGGAGACGGTCGTCCTGTATGAGGGCGAAAAGCCAAGCGAGCTGGACAAAGACAAGAGGATAGTGGAGAGAGCGAGGAAGAGGCCTGCCTGGTTCAGCTACTGATGAGGATTGATTTAAAGCTGTGTGACAGGTACACTGATTTTGGCAAAGGTAACAGATGTTCATCTGTTTTTCTCTCAAAATATTTGATTGAAGTGAACCTGCGTGCATCTTTAAAAGTGAGACCAGCAGGCATCATAAACATGTAAACATATTACTGTATAAGATTAATTGGTGGTTTTTAGTGAGATATCCAGAAAGCCTTCATAATGGCTGACAATGGTTGTTTCAAATGATTGTTTCCTATGTAACTGGGTCACTCACATTTACTGCTGAGCTTTAAAGTAAACTACTTTTATGTATGAAAACACTGTGTGGATTTATTCTGTTAAATCTTTAGCCTTTTGGCTCAGAGTAAAGTGGAAATAAAGCATAATGAAGGTTGCATCTCTTCTGGGAGGGCTGTTCCCAAAATGAAATCACATCTGACTGAAAGTGTACCTTACAGACAGTCTAAAGCTTCTCATTGGTGACGCAGGCCAGTTTTAATCTCGGATAAATCATGTTGTGGGACTTCAGACATTTAATACCAAAGCAGAATGACGGGTATGTGTTTGAATGGACCTTTGCCAGTCTTGTTTTGAGAACTAACACTGATATCACAGCATATTAGTCATGATTGGTCTCGCATCGCTGACCGTTGGCTCATGGAGATTATTTTGTTGAGATGGAGCCAGCATATCTTCCATATACACACCCTGATTCAGTTTCCTGGGTTTGATCAAACGGGGGCTGCCAGTGTCGAGAGGAATGTTTCACCAAAAGCAAAGCTTCCTACCACATTGACAAATGTTGACGTATTCAATATAAAGCATACTAATGCAACACTGCTTGAAGTCTAGTCTCTTTATGAACGCTGCCCGTCATTTATGAACGCCAACACTTTCCCTGGTTTGATTTGATTTCAGTCCACGTGCTGGTGTGGTTTGTTATGATGTGCTGGACAGCAAACAGTGATCCGATTCCCCACAGCTGTTTCCTTTCTGCAGCACGAAGTCCATGTGAGGAGACATTTGAGGAGTGGAAGGATATATGGGATCTCAAAATGAGCACATTGCTCATTTTAAATGTCTGTCATCACGCATACTAAGAAGCTTTAACCTCAATAAAATCCAAACCGATCAAAAATAATAAGATAAAGTACAAAACAAAGCTCCATGAGGTAAAACAATGTGTGATGTTATCCATGTTGTACCTGGCTGCAGTAAGAATGAAAAAATATTTTCTAAGTTTTGTTTAAAATCACACAAGACAATTAAATCCTTAAGGTCAGTGCATAAAGGTTCTCGTGAACGAGGTTTCGTTCAGTGCTGAATCGTGGAAAGTTAATGCTTCTTTTCAGATGAAAACCAACCTGCAGGGTGTCTGAGAAGAGAACATTCACGACAATATGACACAGAGGGCTAAAGATAGAAACAAGCCTGGATATTTAAGACATTGAACGGAGTGAAACGCGCTAATTTCGAGCAGGTCCTGCACAGAAGTGGACGCTGGTCTTGGTGCGGATCCTTCACAGCCATCCCAACATGCACTGTGTGAGCAGAGGGGGCTGCTACCTGCTGAACTCCCACTGTGATGTCCAGGAGGAGGACCAGTGGAGGAAAGAGAGCTACCACGCCAGCTGGCTGAGCCTGGTTCTCCAAACAAGACCTCAATACAGGTAAGCAGGAAGGGGAAAACAGGACTCAAGGGTAATAAAAGCTTAACCTGCTCACAAGTTTGAACAAATGAAAAAAAGGAAGCTGCGGTTATCCACACGATTTCTCCTCAGAAGTCATTTATGATGTGATGAGTGATGATGACCTCACCATTCGGGGTTCCTGTGTCACAGGCTGACTCTGTCAGAGACGGACCGCGTACGCAAAGAGACTTACAAGCAGCAGCAGGTGGTCCACCTGATGGTGGAGAGGAGCCCCGGCCAGACCCTGACGCTGGGCAGAGAGGGGGGCAGGATGACCAAGCACCAGCTGCCCTTCATCAGCAGAGGCAGGGAGCAGCACCTGACCCGCACAGTCCCGCTAGGGAAGGGGGGATCAGACGCAGAGGAAGTCAACGCACACACCTCAGCCCTGGACCTCTGCAAGCCCGTCAGGGAAAACTTCAGAGCCTCCAGTCTGATGGCGTCTCAGAAGGAAGTCTCTGACCGGGCGCAGAGGCGGGAGTGAGGAGAGCGGGAAGGAGCCTCCGGCCTTTGTTCCTGCTCTTCACACAGTGGAGTTAGAAAAGAAAGCCTTTCTTAAAACTGCACCGCAAAAAGACGATATCAGCCTCACTCGTCTGTTCACTTGATGTTTGTTGTGTCATGCTGCAGAGAGGAGAATGCTGTATAATTCAACAGTCTCATAATAAAGGATTCATATTTAGTAAATTAAGTGTTTGCAGAAAACTGCTACAGTATGAAAACTTTTTTGTCTGCTCATATTCCATATGAGTGTTAATATGTTGAGCCTCCATGTATTCCTGCCTTATGACCTTTTTCTTCTTCTTTTTTTTAACCTTGCCCACTGTGAGCTGTTGGTGTTACATGATCACTTCCCCGGGCTCTCGCAGCTCCCCTTGTGGTCAGACACGGGTAGTGCGAGGGAGTCGCAGGAGAAAACAAGACAACCTGGAGAATGGGTTTTTCAGCTGAAAAATAAGAATGTATTCAAGGGATTGCAAATCATACATCCGTCACCTTTTCCCACAAGGTCCAAACAAAAAATAATAAAAAAGAAAAACAGCACAAAACAATAAAAAGAAAATTCATACAGATCCCATTTCACCACCAGTGCAGCAGTTTGAAAGTCTCTAAGTGCTTTTTGTTTTTCTAAATAGTGTTTCTGTTGCGTTAATCATTTTTACACATGCACCATCAATGCAGTCCTGACTCCCAAAATCCTGCAATTAAAAAATGAAAAGAAAAAAAATCACTGAAGAGAAGAAAAACATTCAGATGATCCTTTTGGCTTTCGTTCATAATAACTGAACAAGTCAGAGATGAAGGAAAATATGAAAAGTAATTAAAAACCTTCTTTTTTCCCATAACAGATGTTGCAATAGCGTCAAAAGACTGATCTGGAGGGTGTTTTTTTTAACCTCTTTTCCAGGTCTTTTCCATTTCTTAGCAGTTTCCCAACAGAGACGTGGTGGACAGTGACAGCAGGACTATTTCTGAAAGTTGAGTCTTTATGTTTTAAACACTTTCCAAGCGTTGGTTATGAACTTTGTACAGACAGAGATTGGTGAATTTTAGTGGATCTGAAGTTATGGTGCAGTTTATTTCCAGCTGCAAACTCCAACTTTTTGCGTCTGATGTTGGGTTAAATACTGAATGTTCCTTTAGTTCTGAGTGGAGGATTGTTGAGCTTACCTCTAAGGTGTTTGCATAACAACTTTATCAAGCAAAGGTAATGATAAAAAAAAGACAACAAACAGACATTTTCCACTCCTGACTCACATAAACTCAAAATCAAGTGCAAACACCAGCTAATTTGAACTTTTTTCACTTCATGTAAGGCCGATTTTTCCCTGCAAAGATGGCTTCCTCAGCTCTTTTGTGTTTCTGCACGGTGACTTGCAGCTGCCAGTACTTGAGGTACACCCACATGAGGCTTCCGTTCTTCCTCCTGTCCATGTTTAGGAGGTCCGCGCAGTGCTTGTCTCTCTTAAAAATGTCCCTCAGGTCGGACTCTAGGTCCAGGTCCGCCACGGCCGGATCCTTGACAACTTTAAGCAGCATGTTTTTCTCCATCTCCAGCCGCTGATCTCGAGGTTGGATCAGGGAGCAGTAAGCGTTCTGCCGCTCCACAAGCTGACCCTCCAGCTCCCTCAGAGTGGCTGTGGCGCGGTGGTACCAGTCGCTCTCTCTTTCAAGCGCCTCCCGCAGCACGGCGCCCGCGGCGCCAGATTTCATCAACCTTTGCTTCTCTTCATTCAGTGCCTCTCGCTCCTTAGAAGGGATGAGGACAGAGTTTAATTTATTAAAAGAAGCTACACAGTACATGTAAAAGTGAGAACATAGGGCCAGTTAAGGTAAGAGCAAAACGTGGGTTGATGGGAAGTATCAGTAATGGAAAATAAGGGAGAGCAAAGACAGAAGTGACTTTTACCTGCTGCAGGTGTTTTCGTTCCTCCATAAGCTGCTGTGTCTGAGATATGAGTGCCTGTTTGTAGCCTTTAACCCTTTGTTTCTCCTTCTCCAGCTCCAGCTCCAGGGTTGCAGCCGCCCGGCTTCTCTCTGTCAGAGTATCCCTATAACGGGCCTCCATCTCCCCTTTGATTGTAGAAATGTCATTCTCATACTGGGATGTAACCCTGTGGATCTCCTTTTGAGATTCCCGTGTCCAGATCCAACCTGAAAGGATGTTGGGCAGAAGCGGGGACAATCTTAAGAGACAATGCTCTAAAAGAGATGGTTAAATCAGGATGGTGACCAAAAAACAAGCAAAGAGAGCCCAATGAGATTATATTGAAGGCATCATCTTTTCACTGAACCACCTTGTGTAATATAATTCAATAATCAACACTAGCACTGCAAAAACAAAATAATTCACTGTCCAGAGATAGAAATAAGAACTCGGGGGGCTCAGTCTGTTTTTTTTCAGTTGAGGATTCTCACGTGTAGATTAAACAGGAAAACCCAGACACTCGCCTGAGCATGATATCTAATCCACAAAACCCACGTCTCATTGTGTAACTCACGAAAAGCAGCCAGTCCAAGCATGGGGACCAGCAGGGCATAGTTCCATTGGTTGCCATCACCAGCCGCCGCCCCCCTCCCTCTAGGGTTTGGTTGGATGTTCCATCTAGGGGGGTCATTCAAGTTGTTCATGGAGGCTGCTGTAAACACACACGTAATAGAGAAACACATGGAAAATGAAGGACCTCTGCATAGCTGCTGTAACACTGTAACATGAATGCAATATACAGTTAAAAGCTGATAGACTATGTATAAACAGTGTTACGTTGTTTGGTTGAATTATCAGAGGGTTGTTTCCATGCAAATTAATTGCACTACTGTCAATTATAGCTAAGTTGAAAATAGTTACAGACTAAGTGAATCACCTCACAAGAATAAACTTGCGTCACTGATAGCAATGATTTGCCACTGAGAAGAGGTCCTGAAGGTTTCTTGTTGTTTAGCTTGATATTGTCACCGCGGCAGGCACGCCTGCAGACTCCTCAGTCTTTGTTCATGACTCATGACTTGGAAGTTTGACAGCTTAGTTAAGCACAAAGCGAGCTTCGGCTAACAAATGCTAGCTAACAACTAGCGTGGCGTCCTGTGACCGCTATAACATCTCATATAATCAAAACAAGGGGAACCATAACTGTGAAATTATGAAAACACATCATTGCATGTCAGTTAAATATGTACAACGGTGTCTCACCTTGAATCAAATGTCTAGGTCACTTATGCATTTGTTCCTACATACGCTGATTATACAATTATTACGCCTTAGCAGCTCAAATACCGGCACAGGGGGAGTTATGGAAATCAACTTACTGGGTGCTCCAATAATAGCTCAGAAAATTTAATCTTTGTCAGTTGTTATTATATCAATTGCATATTAGATGTGTTTTCATAGTTACATTCTTTGGAAAAAACTTTGTAGATTATAAAAGTTTGTGTAAAGTAAAAATATCACCCTTTTTTGTAAAGTGGTTTCGCCCGGTCCAACATCATATGTGTTCCCCTACAGTGCTCCGGGAACTATTCTTCAACCGACAACATGGCGAGTGTACGCGTTGCGTCCAAACTCCTCACCAAGAGGGTATTATCCAACTCAAAAGCAGTGAGTAGCAAAAACTACATCTAAGCTTTACTTTATATATACATATGTATAAATGTTCAAGAGATAAGGATATATATTTTATGATTGCTTTATACTGAATGTCAGATTTCTGCTTTCGTAACTGGTGATTTCTGCCTTGCGTAACCTATTATATAGCGGAGGTGTCTCAATGTGACTCTATGGAAAAAAAGATAAACGAGCACTACAGCTCAGAAAATGTGCAAATTTAGCCGTCTTTTCTATACTTTTTATCTTTTACATTTTAACAGCTTTTTTTAAATCTCGGAGAGATATTTTGCAATACGTTAGACGTTAAACGTCATAAGCACTTGTCTTTGTGAAAACGGATACATGCTAGCAGCGCATATGACCTATGTATTTTAGGTCAAATAAAAAGACATGATTGTATGGTAATAAAGTCCATGTTATATGATCTCCACAAAAAGTGTAGATATCAAATATGTAGTTTTAAACGGTTATAAATAAGAGGATTTTGATTAAAATCAGAATGCGTTTGTTTAAATGCTAATGCATTGTTATGGCTTAGGTAGTCAGTTATCAAAATCTAGTTCTTTTTTTAATGTTGGTTTTGATAGTTGGGTTGCAAATCAGCTGTTTAGGTGGCGATTTTTCATAACACCACAGCCACCTGGTGGCAAGTCGGCGAAATTGAAGAGAAAAATGCCACAGTTTAAGATGGCCGATAGGGGACGTGACGTTTATTCCCCCAAAATAATAGACTGAAATATCCACTTTTTTCCTTTGAACATATTGATGTCAAGTGTGTGTGCAGATAGCATCCTTCTTCATCCAGAATACAACTGCCTGTCACGTAGTTCTTAACTCGTTGTTGCTTTGTCATTTTTCATACAGTTGAATTGACATTTACTGTTCAAGAATATTAAAGGAAAAGGATGCCGACATTTTTATGAGAATAGTAATCGGACATTTATTATTTATTCATAATGTATTTAAACTATCCGAGCACAACATCACAATGCTATGGTTTCAGTTTGGGTTCATCATTCATTCATGGGGTGTGTCATTATGTAATATTTGTACAGGAACTGTACAACTGTACAGTAAACACCCACCTCCACACACAACACAACATAAGTTACATAAGTTTCTAAAAAAGGTCAAATTGATTGTCAGGGTAAAATTGATTGTATGCTTTATCCAATTCTGCTGCTTCTTCATTTATTGAAGGTTTTCATTTCTCTGCCAGGTGCCTGCAGCCGCAGTTCAGTGCTCCAGAAACTTTCACTTCTCCATCTATGGCAAGAAGAATAATGCCAAAGTGTCAGATGATGTGAGCTCCTTTTGCTGTTTAAAGGATAAACATGATTAGCATTGTTGATGTGAATGTATTGTGCTTTTTTTTTTTTTTTACAGTTTTGAGAACTTCAATTTCTTTCTCTGTCACTATCCCCAGATCTCAACTCAGTATCCAGTTGTGGATCATGAGTTCGATGCAGTGGTGGTAGGAGCTGGAGGGGCAGGGCTTCGGGCAGCTTTTGGCCTATCAGAGGCTGGCTTCAACACCGCCTGTGTCACCAAGCTCTTCCCCACAAGGTCTCACACCGTTGCTGCACAGGTATTACAACATCTTTGCTTTCATTTGTCTGGTGTTTTCAAACACATGTGCATTTCAACCTGATACGTGTCTTTGTTTGTATTTTATTCATTGAATCTTTTTTTTTTTTTACTTTTGTTCATAGGGTGGGATCAATGCAGCTCTGGGTAACATGGAGGAGGATGATTGGAGGTGGCATTTTTATGACACAGTGAAGGGATCTGATTGGCTCGGAGACCAGGACGCCATCCATTACATGACTGAGCAGGCTCCTGCAGCTGTAGTAGAGGTTAGAGCTGACGCACACACACCGGCCCGTTCACACCTAGTTAGCTTTTCTGACAAATATTTGGAATATGTAAATCCATACAGCGACATTCTGCTTGAAACAGCTGTCTAATAGTTTTGGAATCGAGTTTTGAATCTCAACGCTTGGATTTAATCCATATAAATGGGATTTTTTCCAGCTGGAGAACTTTGGCATGCCATTCAGCCGCACTGAGGAAGGGAAAATCTACCAGAGAGCCTTCGGAGGTCAGAGTCTCAAGTATGGGAAGGGAGGCCAGGCCCACCGCTGCTGCTGTGTGGCGGACAGGACGGGACACTCGTTGCTTCACACGCTTTATGGGAGGGTGAGCACCCCTGCTCCTTCCTGTGCTCGTATATTCTGGCTGCTGCAACCCCTCGCCTGCATTTCACTTATCTGTCTCTCTGCCTTCTGTGCAGTCCCTTCGTTACGACACCAGTTACTTTGTGGAGTACTTTGCCCTGGACCTGCTGATGGAAGACGGAGAGTGTAAAGGTGTGATTGCCCTCTGCATGGAGGACGGCTCCATTCACCGCTTCAGATCACAGAACACCGTCATCGCCACTGGGTACAACAGGCATTCAGTTATCATTAGATACCCTCAGCTATCATGGAGGGAGAGAGATATTCTAAGAAAATTCTGTAAACCTGTTGCTGCAAGTAAGTAAAGTTGGCAAATGCCCTCTGTCTTTCTTTTCCAGGGGTTATGGAAGAGCCTATTTCAGCTGCACATCTGCCCACACAAGCACCGGTGATGGAAATGCCATGGTGACCAGAGCTGGTCTGCCCTGCCAGGACATGGAGTTTGTCCAGTTCCATCCGACAGGTGAGGGGAGGATCAATTTAATTCATTTGATGTTCCAGTTTAAGCTCCAGAGGAACTTAATTGTGTGTGGTACTATTGAAGGAGATATTTGGATGACTTTCAGTGTGTCAAGTTTTCCAAACCCAGTACTTCATTGACCTCCTGTTCATCAGTAGAGCTGGAAGGAGAGCTTTTGGTCAAAGACCTTTCAGACACAGAACAAAGTAATACATCTAAATGAGAAGCTCATTGCTTCACGTGTGCATGTCTCAGAAACACGGGCCGCCTCGTCCCCTGACTTCAAGGAAAACAGAGCGTCATGTTTATTTTCGTTCCTGTGGTCATTTGACACCAGAACTGCCAGTAGCGTAACAGTGAAATGGCTACCGGAGATCCAAAATGGAGCCTCTGTGTCGTTGTACCCGCCTCTCAAACTATTTCAAGAATGTAATTACGTTTGTGCTGTTTGGGTGTAGTTTAATTTAAAGGTGACATCAGGCTGGCTTTGCAGTCGACCGCCTCAGCCGCTGTTTGGACAGTTTGACATAGTAATGATTTTAAAACCAGATGATTTAAAGGTTAGGCTTTTTTAATGGAATGGGAATGACTTGCACAGCTATGCACAAATGTATAGTTTATGCAATTGCACGTGCAGGACAACCATTCTCACCACTTCCTGGTGTTTCGAGGCATAAGCTCTAATTGTTATTGACGCACAATTATGCCATGACGATAAAACTTGCGTGTTTGGAATTATCAGTGCAAATATTCCAGACTACTATTCTGACAGCAGACCCAAAAGTAAGCCAATGTAAGCAATCTAACCGGTGAATTCTTGCAGGAATCTATGGAGCCGGTTGCCTGATCACTGAGGGTTGTCGCGGTGAGGGAGGAATCCTGATCAACAGCGAGGGAGAGCGCTTCATGGAGCGCTATGCCCCCAACGCCAAAGACCTGGCCTCCAGGGATGTGGTGTCTCGCTCCATGACCATAGAGATCAGAGAGGGCAGGTAAGAACACACAGGTGTTTGTGTGTGTGTGTGTGTGTGTGTGTGAGTGTCATGGTCACTGTATAAATGCTGCGGCTGCATCACACTGAGCTACTGGTTTGTTTTCCATCAGGGGTGTTGGTCCAGAGAAGGATCACGTGTACCTGCAGCTTCACCACCTCCCCCCCCAGCAGCTGGCCACCAGGCTGCCCGGCATCTCAGAGACGGCCATGATCTTTGCCGGAGTCGACGTCACCAAAGAGCCGATCCCCGTCCTGCCCACAGTCCACTACAACATGGGCGGAGTTCCTACAAACTACAAGGGACAGGTACCTCACGCCTCTAAACGCCCGCCCGCCTCACTCTCCTCCAACATCCCCCCGCAAAAAGGCCTTTTTTATGGATTTGGACTCTTCCCCTTCCAGGTGATTGACCACACCAACGGCGGAGACAGGGTGGTGCCTGGACTGTACGCCTGCGGCGAGGCGGCGTGTGCCAGCGTCCACGGTGCCAACAGGCTGGGGGCCAACTCCCTGCTGGACCTGGTGGTGTTTGGGAGAGCCTGCGCCCTCACAATCGCCGAAGAGCACAAACCCGGTGAGGACGCCTGTTTGCAGCCGTGTCCGCGCGGTGCAGAGCAGTGAGCGTTCGGTGGGAGATGTCCGTCCTTCTGTCTGATATAGTAATATATATATTTTTTTTTTCAGGCGAGAAGCTGTCACCCCTTAAGGCCAACGCAGGAGAGGAGTCCGTAGCCAACCTGGATAAACTGAGGTTCGCCAATGGCAATCTGAGAACCTCTGAAATCAGACTCCATATGCAGAAGGTACGCGGGCGCATTTCTCTGTGCATCTGTTTTGAGCCACAACAGAGTTTTTACTCAACTGGTATAGTTGATAGAAGATTCTACTCGTGCTCCCTAAATGACTTCCCCTCTCTCTGCCTCTGCATCCAGACTATGCAGAATCATGCCGCAGTGTTCCGTACCGGCTCCGTTCTTAAGGAGGGATGTGACAAAATGGACAGCATCTACGGGACTATGGAGGACATGAAGACCTTTGACAGAGGTATTGCAACCTCATCCATTTTTTTAAATTATATATATTCACTTTTTTGCATATAATAACCTATGCTGATGTTTTTTTTTTTTGTTTGTTTTTTCCTTCTTCTGCCTGCGTTCAGGCATTGTGTGGAACACAGACTTGGTGGAATCACTGGAGCTGCAGAACCTCATGCTGAACGCTGTCCAGACCATCCACTCTGCTGAGCAGAGGAAGGAGAGCAGGGGCGCCCATGCCAGAGAGGACTTCAAGGTCTGTTTTCCCATCTTTCAGTTTTGTGTACATTGTTCGAGCATCTCCTCCCTCTGCTGATCAGCTAATCCGCCCGTTAACGCCATTTTCCCCCTTTGCTCTAGGATCGTATCGATGAGTACGACTACTCTAAGGCTACGCCGGGTCAAGAGAAGAAACCCTTCGAACAGCACTGGAGGAAACACACCATGTCCTACGTCGACTCCAAGACTGGAAAGGTGATTGCTGCTGTACTATCCACTTCCGGCTTTCAATTGTATCACCAGCTTACCGATCTTTCTCCTGTGATTAATCGCAGGTGACCCTGAAGTACCGACCCGTCATCGACCACTCTCTGGATGAGCAGGACTGCGCTCACGTGCCTCCTGCCATCCGCTCCTACTAAGATCTTCCCTGCCCCAAATCCCTCCCCCTCTCCTTACACTTCCTCCTCCCTCAGTTACCGAAAGCTCACTTTACCTTCTATTTAAGAAGATACGCCGTCTCTGTAGTAGTAATGGCATTTTGGGACGAGTAATGGTTTTTGTTGCACATTTGTATTCCCTTAGATGTTAAATACAACAATGTCTACACGGCATCCGATCTTTGTGTCACATTCCTGGTTCTGTCCTTCATGCGTGTTCTGCCTTTATTTAACTCAGCAAGATTGATGTGGCCTCTCACGCTGAGAGCCGGTTTTGTACATATCATTAGAAACTTTAGAGAGGCGGAGGGCCTAAAGACATTTCCATCTCTGAAAGGCTAACCACAACAACAAAGTGAAGTGAACTTGTCTCATAAGTCCAGCTTAGCTTTGTGTGACATCAATCTCTAATAGTTCTGTGTAGTACTAAATGCTTCTGATTAAAACTTCTCTACTTTTGACTGAGTGAAGGGGCTGAGGGAAAGCATGTAGTTCAAAGTGCACACGTCGCCGAGACAGAGGGAAGTTTTAAGTATGTAAATATTGCAGAAATGTACAATAAATATGGTGAAATTACTGTATGTAACGGTAGTAAAAGTATGACTTCATCTCAGTCACTGTTGCCTTCAGCCATGGCTTGCATTTACTTATTACTCCTCATGCGTGTGGTCATTGCTTGGCTCGGTAATAAGCTAACGGCCTTCACTGAGCTTAAGCCATACGCGCTATCGCTATAGATGTTAACCAAATTTAGCAGTTTAGACTTCTATATCCACATTTGTGTACCGGCTGATGGAGCAAAGGCCTATTTAAACATTTAGCTGTTGTTCTATCTTTGAACAATAAAGAAATAATACAGTAATGATCAGTGAATGCCACATTCTGTAAGACCTGGATTTTTGTTGTAAGTTGCAGGAATAGTCCTTCAGGGAGTTTTCATTTAAAAAAAAAACGAAAACAGAATGAGTTGTGCATGAGTGGCGTGGCATTGTAGGATCGACATTTACCTCACTCCAACTCCCACTCCCCCTCACTAACACTGAGGGAGAAGGATCTGCTTGGTGTCACCACTTTCATACAACTACTCGCACACCGTGCTGCTTGTGTTGAATCAACAAAGAGGGTGACTTAATTTATTTGCCTTGGTTTTGCCATTTGTACTTGTTTTCATATATACAATAAAGTGTATGCTATGCATAGAAAAAAAAGGCTCTTGGTTTATCTGGGCTAAGAAAATATTTTCACATCTATACTTGAGTGTTTTACTCCAGAGTGAGTGACTCAGTGTTCCGTTTGCTTTTATCCCACTAGGAGGCAGCAGAAGCACAAAGTCTCCAGCCCACAATGCTGTAATGTGAGAACTAGGTGAGGCTGTTGGTGTGTTTATGATTCTAATAAGACTAATAAGACAATGAGCTTATCCCCTGTAGCAGCTGGATTCAGCTGCTTCGGCCACAGCAACCTGATGTTAAAACAAACAGGGAAATAACTTGAGCACATTCCATCCCTTTTCCAGCGAAAAAAAAAAACAGAAAATAAAAACAGCTATCAGACCAATGAAATGTGAAACCATCAGAGCCTGGTTAGAATAGCAGAAGTTGCAAATCAAAAGAGAAAATAAAGGTTTGCAGCAAGATTTGAACCTCAATACCATTCAGTTTCTGGAGTTACAGCTGCAATGTGAAAATAACTTTTTCTCATGAAGCAACCACAGTTTGATCTTCCAGATTTAAGAACATATATGGTCTTTTACAGGCTTTACTTATCGCATCATTGTTTATATCATACGTGTGGCACAGCTTGAAATATAAATAAATCCCTTTTTCCTCTCTTTTTGGGCTTGAAAACAGTTGATCCCAGAGAACTTCAACCACCAGAAAGAGATAAGAGAAGAAATAAACGTGTTAACGTGATGCACCCGTGAATTCTTGGTAGTAGATCACATCTTTCTGCACATCTTTCTGCCTTCTGGGAAAGGTTCCAGCGCAGCAGAACAGGATGCTGGCTGCTGGTAATGGCTACCAGCTGATGCTGTCCAGCAAAGAATTTGAATTTGCAAACAGCTGTGCGCTGAAGCACCGGGCTACATGGCCATGTGTAAATCAGGGGATGGGCCTTTGAAGCACGCACGTAGGATCCGATCTGAAGACGGATGATGTCAAGTATATAAAAAAAACATGTAATGTACACAGTAGAACAGGAATGAATGAGGCTTTTAGGATTGTGTAAACAGTGAAAAGCAGAGGGAGTCTCGCACACGGAGAAAAAGGACAGGACACGGATGCAGGAGGAGGAGCGAGGATGAAGTAGGGTGGGGCCGGGAGGGCAGAGAAAAAAAAAAAAAAACCTTTACTGTAAGAGGCTTGGAATGCTTACAAGAAGTCCCAACGACTCCCAAACCTTTGAGTGTTCCCGGAGGCCCATTATCGGGTCTAAAAACGTGCAGCTGAAGTCTTGAAGTCATTACCGACAGGCTGAAAGTTTAGTTTTACCTGCTAGTTCTGACACCTTATCATTTCTGCAAAACGTTTGCTTTGAGACAAACCTGTGTGGAGAGGGTCAGACAGCGTACTTGGAGCTTGTTGGGGAAAAAGAGGAAGTCCTCTTCAAATGTCGATAATCTTCATCTGAATTCAAAGACAATATAATAGCTGGAAT